TGAGAAACCCTTTGAATGTGGTGAGTGTGGGAAAACTTTTACCCAGAACTCAAACCTGATTAGACATCAGAGAACCCACACTGGTGAGAAACCCTATGAGTGCTGTGATTGTGGGAAAAGATTCACTCACAACTCAAATCTTATTGTACATCAGAGGCTTCACACAGGTGAGAAACCGTATGAATGTACCAAGTGCGGGAAAAGATTCACTCACAGCTCAGAACTTACTACGCATGAGAGAATCCACACTGGAGAGAAACCTTATGAATGCCATGAATGTGGGAAAAGCTTTACTGCCAGCTCAGCCCTTATTACACATCAAAGAATCCACACAGGTGAGAAACCCTATGAATGCTGTGAGTGTGGGAAAACATTTACTGTCTGCTCAGCCCTCATTACCCATCATAGAATCCACACAGGAGAGAGACCCTATGAATGCTGTGAGTGTGGGACAAATTTCAGTGATAGCTCAGCCTTTCTTCAACACCAGAGAATCCACACTGGAGAGAGACCATATGAATGCTGCAAGTGCGGGAAAACTTTTACGCGGAGCTCAGACCTTACTACGCATCAGAGAATCCACACAGGGGAGAGACCCTATGAATGCTCCGAGTGTGGGAAAACCTTCACTCAAAACTCAAATCTTACTGCCCATCAGAGAATCCATGCAGATGAGAAACCCTATGAATGCTGTGAATGTGGAAAAAGCTTCACTCGGAGCTCAAATCTTATTGCACATCAGAGAATCCACACAAAGGAAAAGCCCTATGAATGCTGTGAGTGCAAGAAAAGTTTTACTGACAGCTCAGCCCTTATTACACATCAGAGAATCCACACAGGTGAGAAGCCCTATAAATGCTGTGAGTGTGGGAAAAGCTTCACTCAAAGCTCTAACCTGATTGCACATCAGAGAATCCACAAAGGGGAGAAGCCCTATCAGTGTTGTGACTGTGGGAAAAGTTTCACTCAGAGTTCACAACTTACTACACATCAGAGAATTCACATAGAAGAGAAACCCTGTGAAAGTGTTGGGTATGGGAAAAGATTGACTGACAGCTCGGCCCTTCTTAAACATCAGAGAATCTGCAAAGGAGCTAAACGTCACAAAAACCTCCAGAGCGATCAACACATTTTAAAAAAATAGTCAAGTATCCCATTCTATCACAGAGATAATGGATTCTGTTACTTTGACGGACCTCTGTTTCAACAGATTCCAGCTCCCAATGCTGAACAAGTTACTACTCTGGCCCCAGGGTGTCCACAACACCCACTGGTGCTGGTGGTAAGCATCCATAGCCAGAGCAATTCCCAGCACCTGACTGAATTAAAGTGGCTGCAGGAGTAAGAAGTTAGCAATTTCCTGCCCCCTCCCCGAAAAAACCCCTGAGTCTGGACACAGCCTCAGTGTGTGAGAAACTGATTACACCTTCCTAAGTGGAGTACTTTGCATTTGTCCTGATTAAACTTTATCCTATTTACCTCTGACCATTTCTCCAGTTTGTTCAGATCATTTTGAATTATGATCCTCTCCTCCAAGAAGATAATGAATTATTTCGATGCAGAGAATCCAGGTGAATGTGTCTACCTGGATTTCTGGAAAGCATCTGATACAGTTCTATATAGGAAATTATTAGCTGAATTATAGAAGTTGGAAATGAATAGGAGAATTGAACAATGGATAAGGAACTGGTTAAGGGGGAGATGACAACAGGTGATACTGAATGGGGGGGTGAGTCACTTGGTGATTGCCTGTTCTGTTCATTACCTCTGGGGCACCTGCCTTTGGCCACTCTCAGAGGACAGGATGCTGAGTTAGATGGACCTTTGGTTTGATCCAGTGTGGCTGTTTTTATGGTGCACAAGATCCTTATGCCTCTCCGGGACAAGCATAAAGATCTTGCACAAAATGGGGTTTTTGCACAAAATGGAAGTGGTTGCACGGCTTCTTTTTGCGCAAGGGGTTTTTGTGCAAAAAGAAATGGCAGAAAATATACTAATGATGTTACAACTTATGCTAATGAGTCCCTTATTAGCATATTTTCTGCTGCAAAAACTCGCAGCGTGGACGTAGCTCCAATGATTCCTAGCCTGACTCCTGTTGACAAAATCAAACCAGCTCCAAGGAGCTGCGCTAGGTAGGTCAGCAGGACAACAGCATATCTCAACATAGCTCTGAGCACACTGCTATTGTTGATGAAAAGGGGATTTTTTTGCACACTCAAGACCAACAAAAGGTTTACCAATAAAAATACTAGTGTAGACAAAACTTGGCTTTCCAACCTAGGGCTTTAATCTAGGTTGAAAGCGAGTGGATAGGGTTGCTGGATGGTTTAACCAATAAATACCAACCATCATCACCACAACCCCCCCCCCCCCCAAAAAAAAAAAAACCAGGGGGAAAAAAATCAAAAAAAAAAGGGGGGGGGGGGGAACCAAAATTGTTGAGCAACAAAAAAATTAAATTAAATTAAAATAAAAAAAACAGCATGGCCCCTTTAAGAAATGCTTTTGAGGCTTTTTGGCCCTAACAGGCTGCTGGCAGCCGTCCGTCATCTTGTCTTCCTGCTCTGGGCCAGACAGCTCCCCTGTGGAACCAGGTAAGCACCCGATATTTTCACCTCCTGGATGGGAAAAAATCAAAAAATACCAAACATTTTAGGTGCCCGGTATTTTCTGAATTTTTTTTACCAGACAGGAGGCGAAAAAACCAGACACCTGGCAACCCTACCTCCAGGATGGCGCCTCTCAGGGTCTTCATCACACCTGTCTCTGATGAGAACCCCTCTGTGAGTCCACTGCCGGAGGGGATAGTGCAGCCCTGTTCTCCAGCCCAGAATGGCTCCCAGCCAGCACCGAACAGGAGGGTTCATTGAGCTTTGAATGAAGCAACGGCTCCCTCAGGCCTGTTGGCCTGGCCCCCCTCAACCCCGCACGACTAAGTCTCCCCTGCTGCCTGGTGGACCCTGTTTGCCCCCGCTTGCCTCATCCCACAGCCCTTCTTCCAGCTCAGCCTCTGATCCCCCCCCAGCAGCCTCTCCCCTGTCCGTTGTCTTCTCTCCAGGTAACCAGGGTTGCCTAGGCCCCTCTCTTCTCCACCTCCCCCCCCCCTTCTCCCCTGTTTATTCTCCCCTGGCTGGAGCCATCTGGGCAGGTCACCATAGTCTCCCTGCAGCCAACTGTCCTCACGCAGGCCAGACCTGTCTGTGCCCTCCAAGCTGCGTCATCGGGGTACGTCTACACAGCGACATTATTTCAAAATAACTAGTTATTTCGAAATAACTTAGTCCGTGCCTACATACCGGGCAGTTATTTCGAAATAATGTTGAAATACATCACCGTCCAGCAGAACTAAGGGGTTCAGGTACTGATGCACCTGTGCAGCCACTCTGGCTCCCCCAGACTTGTTGGGCCCTACTCCATGCAGGCATAGAACAAATGCAAACACTCCTGTGTTTGTACAGCACTTTGCTTGGCGGCACAGTCATTTTATATCAGGTGCTTTGTGGCAGGGCTAAGAAGCCTTTGTCTGGGGTCAAGGCCCTGCTATGCCAGCCAGAGCTGTCTGATAAGAAGGCAGTCTCACACTCTGCACGTGAATGCCCCGGGGCACCCTGCCACAGCTGCCTTTCACTGCTGCTGTGGGACTGCGGTGTGGGACTTCAAACCTCTGCTTCAGCTACCCCAGACTAACACGGCTACATTTCTATCACCTTGCTCAGGGGCCTGGTGTCCCTGTTGGCTCTTCTGTTTTCAAGCTTTCCTCCACAATCATGACAATTGAAAACAATGTTTTTTTAAAAAAAATAATGCTGACCTTCTCACATATTCCTATAACTCCAGGGGTACGTCTAGACTACAGGCTTTTGTTGACAGAGGCTTCATTGATAGATACTGTCGACAAAGTTTCTGTCGACAAAGAGCGTCTAGACTACATCCAGTTCTGTCGACAAAGCAAGCTGCTTTGTCGACATAACAGTTTGGACGCAAAGGACAGTGTAGATGCAATAATGCCTTCTATCGACAAAATTCTGTCGATAAAAGGCGTTATTCCTCGTAGAATGAGGTTTACATACGTCGAGAAAACTGCTGAGTTTTGTCGACGTTATGTCGACATAACTCAAAGGCAGTGTGGACGCAGGTATAGTTTTGTCGACAAAACCCTGTAGTCTAGACACACCCTTAGTGACTTCCACATCAAGGATGTTCGAGGCTGGTAGCCTCCTCAGTTGTTTTCCCATGTGTGCCAGCCCCTGAACCCCAGACAGAGCAGCCCCTGGGTGTCCCCAGCAGGGGGTGACTTGCACTTGAGGCACAAGATGGGACTGCAGCTACCTGCATCCAATTCGCAGCTCAGGAGCCCCCTGTGCCCCTGTGCAATCAGTGCATCTCTCTCGCTGAACTGTCATTCATGTTAAAATTCGACACTTTCCAAAAAGGACTCAACAAACACTTGAACTATCTCGCCCATTACCAAGATAGTTTCCCCAATTATCACCTCTACTACCATTAACTCACAAACATCCCACTCTCCCTACCTCTAATATCATCAATTCACAGACACTTACCTTCCTTCCTTCCCCCCCCCCCCACCCTTTTTTTTTTAATTGTATCCTTTGGTATATATGGTTGTGACTATTTTCTTCCACTATTTGATCTGAGGAAGTGGGTCTTGCCCACGAAAGCTCATCATCTAATAAACCATCTTGTTAGTCTTTAAAGTGCTACATTGTCCTGCATTTTGCTTCAGCTACCCCAGACTAACACGGCTACATTTCTATCACTATTCTGCATCTCTCTCAGCGCAGCTCCCCAGCTGCAGCATGGGGAACATAATGCTGCCTTTCTCCGTTTCATCTGGAAGCTCTTCTGGGCTGGGCATGTCCCTTCCTGTGTCTGCGCAGCACTCAGCACTACAGGGGCTCGGAGGGATCCACTCACTCCCCTCTCATGCCTCTAATTCTAGTGATCACAGTGTGGGATGCGAGTGCTGCTCTGGGGTACAGATACTGAGAATTCAGCAGAAATAGGAATTTTATTGGGGAGTTTGCAATTTCATATCCACATTTGTTCCTTTTCTTCTAAGCATCTGGTGTCTTCCCTTCTGTGTTCCTTGGCATGAAGACACCCAGAGGCAGAAAGGGACAGTGACGCCTGTCCAGGCAGCAGGCGAAGCTGGCTGGGGAGGTGTGAACACAGCTGTCTGCCAGAAGAGGTGCTCTGTGCATGTCAGTTGTTGGCAGTGACCTCCTCAATCCAGGACAGGTAATTACACACTGTAGTGTAGACTCCCGGGTAGTTCTTCTGGGCACACCCAATGCCCCAGGACACCACCCCTGTCAGCTTCCCATTACAGACCATCGGCCCACCAGAGTCTCCCTGCAGGGAACAAAGAGCCAACCTAGTATGGCTGTGCCAGGCCCCTTCATGGCATTAGAATTGGCAAAAGGCTGTGCCCAAACAAGTAGGAGTCAGGGCCCTAGGGCCAGATGTGGCTGTTAGCCCAAGCCCAGGCGATGCTGGGAACAATGGGACAACCTGCCCATCCAGGCCCCCATTCTTCTCCTTCACACATGCCAGCACCAGGGATGTGCCAGACCACACCACTGGGGCCAACATAGTCAAAGCAGCTTTGGCTAGTGCACAGGTACACTGGGGTCTGTGGGAGTTCACTAGCACCTATGCCAGGTCCGGTGCAGAATCTGGGATTTGCCTTGAAACTGTAGATCAGACACTATTCTTGGTATGGATTTATTGTCTTGCATTAATTCCAGCAAGCACTAATGACCTTGTTCTGCAGACTGGTTTTCAGGTATCTAAAAGGGTGTCACAAGGGGGAGAGAGAAAAATAGTTCTCCTTGGCCTCTGAGGATAGAACAAGAAGCAATGGGCTTAAACTGCAGCAACGGAGGTTTAGGTTGGACATTAGGAAAAACTTCCTAACTGTCAGGGTGGTTAAACACTGGAATAAGTTGCCTGGAGAGTTGTGTAATCTCCATCTCTGGAGATATTTAAGAGCAGGTTATATAGACATCTGTCAGGGATGGTCTAGTAGGTACTTGGTCCTGCTGTGAGGGCAGGGGACTGGACTCGATGACCTTACAAGGTCCCTGCTAGTTCTAGCGCTTTATGATTCTATGGAACCGAGTTAAGGACTCCTCTTTGGACCCTTCTCTGCCCATTAGAGCAAACCCTAGCACACATCTCCCCCCGCCCCAGGCACACACTAACAGGATCTTACTGTGCACTAGCACACACACACATAAGCACACACTAGGACCACCTTCTGAAGATGCTAATAATAAAACATACATACATTAGCACACACAACTCAGACTACGTTCACAAATGCACCATTCTGCTGATGTTGATAACACACCTCCGTGTACTAGCACACACATCTCGGAAACACGCTCTAACATCAATGTTCCCTCTTTTCTATGCAGGTGTGGATTGGTCCTATCCATGTGCTGTGACAAACTGGGGATTTTATTCTCCTTGTTATGTTGCATGTGAGTTCTTGTGTCCTACAGTAAACCCGGCTGTCTGCCTCAGCTACCCTGGACACTGTACTAATACCTAGATGGAGATAGGAATGATAGGCACCCACACCGACATAATGGCCAATGCCCTTTGTAATGTGCGACCAGGTGACTCCATTTGCTGGGGAAGCAGGACAAAGGCTGATGAAGGAGCCTGGCTGGGGGGGCTGAGACCAGGAGCTGGGAGTAGATCAGTCTCTGCTGGCTTGGGAGGCGGGAGAGGACCAGGGCCCCAGCTCTGGTCCCCACCGCTCCCAAAGAGGGATTGCACTGACTGCCTCTGGGCTCTGTGCTGACGAGTCTGCTCTGCGCTGTGTCCCTGTGAACCAATAATCCTTCTGTTCTCCCTGCTGGCTGAGAGTCACATCTGGCTGCATCTGGAAGATGTAGGGCCTGGAGACTCTCCACACCTCGGTGACTTGTGAAGAATAAGGGTTTTTTAAGTGCACCAAGATGTGTGTGAATGTGCACAACTAGTAGAAACAAAAAACCTACCTGGGGCGCTCTCCTAATCAGCTGGGCAGCATTAGAATTTATCCTGAATGGCCTCATAGATGCCCAGCTGACATGGAACAGTGTCTAATGCCCCCTTCTGCAACTTCAGAGGGGGAGCCGAGTTAGTTTGTAACTGGAAAAATAACGAATAGTCCTGCAGCTCCTCACACCCAATACATGATGGGACACTCAGAGGAAACAGCCCCAAGCCCTGGAAGTGCCCTTCCTAATGGCAGCAGTGCCATGATGAATCCCCGAACCTCACGCCTCCAGGACACATGGCTCAGTGTGCTGCCCTTGCCACGCCTCAGCCTGGTGACTTTGGCCACGCATTGAGCAAGCAGCTTTCACTTTGAATGCCATTGCAGCTGAACGAAATGCAACCAGCCCCTCTCCCAAACACCGCACCAGCCATTCCCACCATACCTGGCAAGAGTCTTTGCCCCCCTCCAGATAGCCAGCACAGAACATGTTGGTGGTGATGCGGCCGGGGTAGGAGGCACGGCAGGCAGAGTCAGAGAGGATGGGCACATTCAGACACTGTAAGGCAGCCGGGTACTGAACTGCAGAGGAGAGGAAATGGGGATTGAATGCCAGAGCCCATTCAATGACAGAGAAGATGAGGCCTGGTTCCCACACTGCCCGTGCCAGGGTAAATCAGGAGTAACCCCATTGGGGTCGGTGGGGCTAATTCCCCTTTCACTCAGCCTTGTGTAAGTCCGAATGATTGCAGACGGGCCCCTCCCTCACTGCCCAAGTTGAAGCTGTCCCCGCAGTATCTTACCCCCAGAGGTGAGGAGGTTGCCCCAGCCGGAGACCCGGCACACCGTCCCAGGCACAGGGCAGCTGCTGTCAACAGGGATGGGCTGCACGTAGGCGTTGAACCGGGCTGGCTGGGCCAGCTTCACCAACATGATGTCATTGTCCGTGGTGCGCTCGTTGTACTTCGGGAACCGGATGGCTTTGGCCACCTGTATATGCTGCTCAGTGCCCTCATCGGCAGTGGTGTCATGCTCTCCAAGATGGGCCACTAGGGTGCTGGGCCTGCAGGGAACAGCCACAGAGACACAGCGATTCAGGGCTGGCAGGGGCCTTGAGAATTCGTCACATCCAGTCCCCTGGACATAGGCCGGACCAGGATCAGCCCTGACAGGGTTTTGTTCAGCCTGTTCTTATGGGGGCTCCATCCCTCCCTTGGAGCCCAGTCCGATGCTTCACTGCCCTGGAACCTAATTAAGCTAAACCCTCTGAGCACACCCCTTACTTCTTTTCCCGCCATTAGTGGGCAGGGAGAACAGCTCAGTCAGTGGCCTCTTTATAACACCCAGGAATGGATGTGAAGTCATCAGGCTTCTCCTTTAGGCATTTTTTTCTCAGCCCTAATCATGCCCAGTTGTTTTCTCACCCTTTCATCATTTTTGTCGTGGTCCTCTGGGCTCTCTCTTTCTTGTCCACACCTTTCCTCAAGTGAGGTGCCCAGTATGCCAGCCACAGCCTCCTCTGACATGCAACCCTTCTCTGACACACCCTAGAATTCTACCAGCCTTTTCTGCAATTGCAGCACGGTGCTTCCCAGCGTTCAGTTCCTTGGGAAATACAACCTAGATCCGCACATAACACCCCCACTGCCGGGTCCCACTGAAGACCGGCTTCACCTCCATGGGGGCAGGGAAGAATTTCTGCCAACGGCTCTTCTGATGCAGCAGCCTACTCACCTTTTGTAGCAATGCGCTGCCGAGATGATCCACCATTCATTGATGAGAGACCCCCCACACCAGCGGTAGTCGGACCCATAGGTGAAATAGACCTGCCAGGGCTGGGAGTGCGGTGAGCACACATAGCCGCCTATTATCTTGTCATCCTCCTCAAGTTGGGAGGCCACTGCAAGGCAAATGCGATGGGGGGATTAGCCCAGGGAGTCAAAGCGAGGAGGAAGGAGAGGACTGGGTAGAGTGCAGTTACCTGTGGTGCTCAGGAGCAGAGCGAACCAAAAGAGCTCCATGCTGCCAAGCTGAGCTGGGCCCCAGGATGCGGTGAGTTTATAAGAGTTGAGCTATCCAATGATTAGTAAGAAAACCACATCTGTCTCCCTAGGTAAATAACTGTCTGCTCCATTTGCTGCATTCCCTGGCTGCAGGGCAGGAAATCGGGGCTAAAATTAACTCAGGGTGCAATGTGCTTCCTATGCCAGGTGGCTGACATTTGCTCTGCCTTTAATATGGGATAGAAGTGATAAAGAGGCACTGGGCATGTCTAATCCACGAGCCCAAGGTTTGGCAGCCCATATAAGGCCTCCGAATAGGAGGCTTCCCCGGAAGGAATAGGAAGGAAAACCAGAGCTTTTTTATGAATATGCTGGACTGGGAGTGTGAGCTCCTGAGTCTAGAGTGCTAGTCAGGAATTTCCCAGTTCAGTTCTTGGTGGTGGTGTTGGAGAAGCTATTGAGCAAAACAGAAGCGGTTTGCAAAGCAGAGCTGGATTTGATGGATCTCTCAAACCCAAACATTTTTGGATAAAATAATTTCAAAACTGTGGACCCAGCAAGTTTCCATTTTTTTGAGTCAAGCTAACTTTGTTTTGAACTGTTGGAACATTTTTTCATTAAAAAATGAAATAGGAAGGTAAATTGAAACAAAATGTTTTGAACAGAAGCACATTTGACATGAATCAAAATTATTTCTGAATGGGAAGCAGTTTTGGGCTTGATTCTGGTTCCGGTACAGATGCCCTATGGCTACTGGATCTCTCTGAGCTTTGGTCCCCATCTGTAAGAGAACTTGTGTTAACTGTTTTCCCCAGGGCTTGGACGGAGTGCTCGTCTGAGCTAGAAACATTGCAGTGGTGCAGCTGCACGGAGGTGAGATTTTCAGGAAATACAAAACCTGGTCCAGGAGCAGATGGGCAGCCACCATGTGGCCCTGGCCCCAGCTCCAGGCTTGGGGAGTCAGGGACATCTGAGAGCTGCCCAGCTGTTCCACTGCCAAGTCCACCAGAAGCAGCAGCAGCAGCTTGCTCTGGCACACTGCTGCAGGGCTCTGCTGGGAAGGGGGCGAGGAGACCTAAAATTCTCTGCACACACACAATTGCACACTCCAGAGGGAACTTAGCTGCAGAGGCCTCCACAAACCAGGCCAGGGAAGTGGCTCAGCAGGGCAGTGCGTGTGGGACAGAGCAGTCCCACGCTTCCTGGGTGCAGGACTCAGGACAGGGCCCTGGGGGGCATAGAGGGAGCTAAGGCCCTGCCCTGAGGGCTGTTGTGAAGCCTGCAGGTTTGGGGTGTGAACAGGATGGAACTCACTCCCCACCCCACCACTCCAGAGCTTGGTGGAAAGGCAGAGAGACTTCCCGAGGTAGGTCTCACACCTCCAGCCAGCACCCCGAGAGGGTCTTGGGCTTTCCCAGGGTGCCTGCCCAGCCAGAGGCAGTGGTGGGTGGGAAGGGTCACTGGCCAGGCTGCTGGTAGGGTTGAACACGCTCTAACATCAATGTTCCCTCTTTTCTATCCAGCTGTGGATTTTTCCTATCCATGTGCTGTGACAAACTGGGGATTTTATTCTCCTTGTTATGTTGCATGTGAGTTCTTGTGTCCTACAGTAAACCCGGCTGTCTGCCTCAGCTACCCTGGACGCTATACTAGTACCTCTATGGAAATAGGAATTATTGGCTCCTGCACCGACACAATGGCCAATGCCCTTTGTATTGTGCAACCAGGTGACTCCATTCACTGGGGAAGAAGGACAAAGGCCCATGAAGGAGCCTGGCTGGGGGGGGCTGAGACCAGGAGTTGGGAGTAGATCAGTCTCTGCTGGCTTGAGAGGCGGGAGAGGACCAGGGCCCCAGCTCTGGTCCCCACCGCTCCCAAAGAGGGATTGCACTGACTGCCTCTGGGCTCTGTGCTGACGAGTCTGCTCTGCGCTGTGTCCCTGTGAACCAATAATCCTTCTGTTCTCCCTGCTGGCTGAGAGTCACATCTGGCTGCATCTGGGAGATGTAGGGCCTGGGGACTCCCCACACCTCGGTGACTTGTGCAGAATAAGGGTTTTTTAAGTGCACCAAGATGTGTGTGAATGTGCACAACTAGTAGAAACAAAAAACCTACCTGGGGCGCTCTCCTAATCAGCTGGGCAGCATTAGAATTTATCCTGAATGGCCTCATAGATGCCCAGCTGACATGGAACAGTGTCTAATGCCCCCTTCTGCAACTTCAGAGGGGGAGCCGAGTTAGTTTGTTACTGGAAAAACAACGAATAGTCCTGCAGCTCCTCTGCAGACTTGCACATAAGTGCACTAGCACACACACCAGGCACACACACTAACATGCACCACCTCCTGTGCATACCAATGCCCACAAACCCCTTGCCTTACACACCTTTCTGCACAAATGCCCACCTAAGCCTCTGCTCCCATTCATGCCCCATCACTCATGTGCATGCACACACGGACACCTGTCTGCACTTGACTCCACACCCAATACATTATGGGACGCTCAGAGGAGTGCCCTGGAAGTGCCCTCCCTAATGGCAGCAGTGCAATGATGAATCCCCGAACCTCAGGGCTCCAGGACACATGGCTCAGCGTGCTGCCCTTGCAATGCATTGAACAAGCAGCTTTCGCTTTGAATGCCGTTGCAGCTGAACGAAATGCAACCAGCCCAACGAATAGTCCTGCAGCTCCTCACACCCAATACATGATGGGACACTCAGAGGAAACAGCCCCAAGCCCTGGAAGTGCCCTTCCTAATGGCAGCAGTGCCATGATGAATCCCCGAACCTCACGCCTCCAGGACACATGGCTCAGTGTGCTGCCCTTGCCACGCCTCAGCCTGGTGACTTTGGCCACGCATTGAGCAAGCAGCTTTCACTTTGAATGCCATTGCAGCTGAACGAAATGCAACCAGCCCCTCTCCCAAACACCCCGCCAGCCATTCCCACCATACCTGGCAAGAGTCTTTGCCCCCCTCCAGATAGCCAGCACAGAACATGTTGGTGGTGATGCGGCCGGGGTAGGAGGCACGGCAGGCAGAGTCAGAGAGGATGGGCACATTCAGACACTGTAAGGCAGCCGGGTACTGAACTGCAGAGGAGAGGAAATGGGGATTGAATGCCAGAGCCCATTCAATGACAGAGAAGATGAGGCCTGGTTCCCACACTGCCCGTGCCAGGGTAAATCAGGAGTAACCCCATTGGGGTCGGTGGGGCTAATTCCCCTTTCACTCAGCCTTGTGTAAGTCCGAATGATTGCAGACGGGCCCCTCCCTCACTGCCCAAGTTGAAGCTGTCCCCGCAGTATCTTACCCCCAGAGGTGAGGAGGTTGCCCCAGCCGGAGACCCGGCACACCGTCCCAGGCACAGGGCAGCTGCTGTCAACAGGGATGGGCTGCACGTAGGCGTTGAACCGGGCTGGCTGGGCCAGCTTCACCAACATGATGTCATTGTCCGTGGTGCGCTCGTTGTACTTCGGGAACCGGATGGCTTTGGCCACCTGTATATGTTGCTCAGTGCCCTCATCGGCAGTGGTGTCATGCTCTCCAAGATGGGCCACTAGAATGCTGGGTCTGCAGGGAACAGCCACAGAGACACAGCGATGCAGGGCTGGCAGGGGCCTTGAGAATTCGTCACATCCAGTCCCCTGGACATAGGCCGGACCAGGATCAGCCCTGACAGGGTTTTGTTCAGCCTGTTCTTATGGGGGCTCCATCCCTCCCTTGGAGCCCAGTCCGATGCTTCACTGCCCTGGAACCTAATTAAGCTAAACCCTCTGAGCACACCCCTTACTTCTTTTCCCGCCATTAGTGGGCAGGGAGAACAGCTCAGTCAGTGGCCTCTTTATAACACCCAGGAATGGATGTGAAGTCATCAGGCTTCTCCTTTAGGCATTTTTTTCTCAGCCCTAATCATGCCCAGTTGTTTTCTCACCCTTTCATCATTTTTGTCGTGGTCCTCTGGGCTCTCTCTTTCTTGTCCACACCTTTCCTCAAGTGAGGTGCCCAGTATGCCAGCCACAGCCTCCTCTGACATGCAACCCTTCTCTGACACACCCTAGAATTCTACCAGCCTTTTCTGCAATTGCAGCACGGTGCTTCCCAGCGTTCAGTTCCTTGGGAAATACAACCTAGATCCGCACATAACACCCCCACTGCCGGGTCCCACTGAAGACCGGCTTCACCTCCATGGGGGCAGGGAAGAATTTCTGCCAACGGCTCTTCTGATGCAGCAGCCTACTCACCTTTTG